GGTGCACATGGCCAGCCTAAATTCAATAGGGGTAGAGGTGGAGTAGGGATAGAATCCATTTCTTGGTGGGGTTGCAAGGACACACAGAAATATACTCAAGGTCCTCCCTCCTCCCCCTCCTCCCACCAAAATGTCATCCTATTACAACACTGGCTGTAAGGCCAGGATCTTGTTAGCCTGAAATCAGGTTCAAGTGCAGATGGTACTCCTTGGGTTTAGTTCCTCACATAGAGCTCCTTAGATACAGCTCCTCGTAAGTCAAAATCCCATCACCACAAAAGATAACTTAGTTGCCCCACTGCAGTAAGCCAGGGATAAGACTGCAATAAACACTTGAGTTTATTGAGATGCAGGGGATGGAGAGTTATACAGAAGGCACATAATGGTACCATAGCAATTGTGAAATCTGCTGGGCACATGTCATCAGCAACTTGAATGGAACACAGTTCGGCTCCCTGAAAAATAGTCCTCTGTGAGTCTTGACTCTGCCTCTGGGGTCCTGGCTCCATCCTCTGAGTCATTCTGCCTCATAAGAAATAGTCCATGTTTACAACAGTGTAGCTTTCTCAGCCTGCTTCCTGCTCATGGAAGATTGGGATACCCCCCCGCCACACACACACAGAGGCTCTTCTTAATTGAACTATGTCTATTCTTTCTGTCTATCCTATGGTGTTTCCATTAGAACCATTCTTATAAAAATTTTGTGGCTTTCCTATGAATTTTATTAAAATTTAACTCCACTGGAGAGATGCCACATCTACAAATCTCTTTGAGATAGTCCACTTTCTACTTTGGGCTGAGTGTCATGGTGCTGTGGAAATGAGACTTAGAGCCTTGGAAGGTTTTTTGATTAACTGAGACATTCTAAAAAGGTACGCCTTTAAGACTCTTTGAAGTCCTTTTGTCTAGCTGAAAAGCTCTAAGAGGACTTGTCTTAAATCTTTTTGAGGTCTCGACAAAGAATTTTACAGAAGCCCTCTTGATCTGATTTTTACTCTGAGGTCATTTTTTACTGACAGCACCCTGAGATTTGAGTATTAGATAAGCAAAGGGGAGGGAAAGGATATTTCACAGTGGAAGACCAGAACAAATAAAAGCGTACTCTCACTGGGAAATAGTGAAGAAAGTCATCTATCTCGATTCATGATGAGGGGAAACACAAAATGAAACTGGAAAGGCAGAATAAAATCAGACATACTAAGAGCACTACCAGATTATAGAGTCTGCAATTTATGCTCTCCATTGCTGGTTTTCACTTGCTGGTCCAAATGTTACTACATCATATACACTTGGAGAGCTTTATAAGTTCACAGCCTCACCCTAGAAATTTTAAAAGATTACAATAGAATCTGTATCTAAGCAACGTTCCCAGGTGATTCTCAGACACAGCCAGACTTAGGAGTCACTGCTCTAGACAACAGTCAGCTATTGACTTTTTGAGAATGGGAATGACATAAATGTAGGCATTTAATGAAGTTTTCAGTTACAAGCATAAATAATAAAAAGTGGTATGTTCATTTATAATTTTCTATTTCTCCTTATTTATATTATTTCCCTCAGAGACCTACTTCATAGAACCTATGTATTTTCTGGCCATATACATCTTGAAGAACCACAATCTCATCATAACCTTAACACATAACAATAATTTTGTTTGGTTGGGTTATTCTGTTAAGGAAGATAAGCCTAGTATATTAGAGGGCAAGGTCCTAATAGAAGTTAGAGTCTGGGTCTATGTAATGTAGGTATGAAATTATAAGGACCTGACCTAAGATGGTGACAGTAAGAATAAAAATGAAGCAAGAGATCAAAGCCTTGACATTAACACTTCTAGAAAGGG